TATATATATTTATTTTAGACAACTATGGGTTAATACACGTACACACAATTCTAGATTTTAAAGGAGGAGTTAAGATGAAATAATCTCAGAAATATTGTGACGAAAATAATTAACAAAGCCGGCATTTATTGAAAAATTTAACATAACATCTTATAGTGCTTCTTATTTAAACCCTTGGTTCACCATTCAGTAGTTTTGTTCGTGTTAGTCCTTGTAATCGGTATCTGGATTTTAGTCTTTGAATTTCCTTAAATGTCATTAATGTTCAGTCCAAAAAACTAAAAAAAATACCCGAGGAGGGCTGTAAAAATCTTTTTAAAAAAAAGTTAAAATAAAAGGTTCAGAGCTCTGAAAAAAATGTGTTCACAACTACCCGGGTAGTATATTTTTTCAATTTGCTTAGCTGTTGATGGTGAAGTCCTGTCCACCAAGGAGTGAAGTTATGGCATCCAACTTGTTCCTGGCTCATCAATCCAGAGGTAGCTCGGCATTCAACCAGGGCCAGATTAACACTTCGCTGTACCCTGGGCAACAATCTTCAAGGGCCCCATCATCACAACCCCAGAATCACCATAATCTGACAAAATACAGAAAAAATTACCATAATATACAGTAAATATACTTAAAATTCTAACTACCAAGTGTATTTTTTTATATACAAAACTCCAAATACTCATTGACACAAATCATCAAGACTGAATTAAGTTGAACGCACTTTGAAAACCACATGACACCGTATGTGTACTTGTTTAGTAACATGTTGGCCACTGGTGTCAGAAGCATTTATAATGTGTGTATGGGGGGGGGACACACTGATGGGAGGTCTGGGGGTCCTCCCCAAGAAATTTTTGAATAAAGTAGATGCCATTTCCTGTATTCTGGTGTATTTTAATGGTTGTTTAACATCTAGTTTTATCTACAAAGCAAACACTTGGAACACCTTGGGATTCCCATGGAGGAGCTGGTCCAAGTGGCTGGGGAGAGGGAAGTCTGGACCTCCCTACTTGGGCTGCTACCCCCACGGATGGATGGAAGTAAACACTTGATTCAGTAACTGTTTTAGAGCTAATGGCACAACAAGAAGTAGCCTGACCAACAGCTGATTCAATGAATGATAAATATTATATATTCAAAGGTGACGATTTGATGCCCAAATTAAAATTAAATGACTGTAACTTTGTTGACTTCAAATGAAATAAGACTTATCAATGAATGTTTGCGACAAAAGATTTACTGAGTATAACAAAGATTCCTTCAAGAAACCTCCCAATATAAATCATAAAACCAGAATGATTTCTGCTCATTCTAAATTTGTCAAATGGCCCAAATCTCCTAAAGTGAAGGAGAATCACTTTCTCTGATGCATATATGGTCGTACTTATAGAAAAGTACCACATTCACTGTAGTAAGAGGAGGGATAATAAGCCTTCCTTCCTGTTTGATGGACGATTTTAAGTCATACTATTCTTCATTAAGTAGATTAAAAATCTGCAAAACTGCTAAAATCATCTCACAACAGATACAAACGTATTGTTTTAATTAAAACAATGTTTCTCAAGAAATAAAACTGATGAGCTTGTCAGCAGGTAAGGGGCGTTTACCTTTGGGACAAATTGAGGTTGTCGATTGGTTAGTTACTGACACGCCTTCTGGGTTGATTGACAGGTCGTGCAGTGAGGATCCAATTGAAAAAAAAAAAAAACGAGCTGCAGCAGCCGCGCTGGGAGGAGGCGGGGCTGCACAAATGCAGCGGCAGCGCAGCAGTTTCTGTGCAGCGCAGGGCTCCAAGTAAAGCAGGAGATAACAAGATATTTTGCTTTTGCCCTCACTGCCCTGGGCCCCTTAGAGATCATAGGCCCCTGGGCAGTTGCCCATATGGTTAATCCGGCCTTGCATTCAACAGTCTGCCTGAATCCAAGGTCAACCTAAAAACCAACCTGCACAGGCAGGGGGAATATCAATCACTCCAAATGCTAAATTTGCAAATCATTTATAGTACAATTCTAGCTTTAACCTAACTCATAGGCCTTTACGCATTACATTTTTTTAACCTGGCATTAACATAGCACAAAGTAGTGTAATTACCCTTTATGTAACTTTATTTCTGTAATAAAGTTCACTAGTTCTATATTTTCCTCCGATTGGTTTTAAGTTTGAGAGTTCATAGAAACTGTAGAAAATAATTTAATATCACATTGAGCTTCCTTTTCGTAATATAGCTTTAGCTGTGAGTAGCATTAGCACAGCAAAATATAGTCATCCTCAGTTCAAACCATTTCAAACACTCTCCAGAGAAATCAAAAATAATTGGAGAAATTTTCCTCTTCAGCACCTCTTGCAGTCAGCTTTGGAGCAAAACTCCAGCTCTACTTTCTTTCACTTATTTTAACAATAACTCCTGTTGTTTCATCACTTTCACACCATGTGGTTTGCACACATTGTATTCCGGAACTGTTTTCTTCTCCTTGGAATGTACATTCTTTTTCTGCGAACAGCACCATCTAGTGGCACCACAGCAACTAAAGAAAAGAAAACATTTACCCTTCATATACAGGTATGTCAAAATTATGTGGGTGACATAAGTTATGGAATAAAATGCTTTCATTTAATCTAAAAACTATTATAGAGAGACAATTTTGTTTGTACCATTTATTTAATGAAAGAAAAACAGACAACAATCACTGAAATAAGTTGAAAATAACAAAAGTAGTAATGAGAAAAAAAAATGTACTGAAAAACAAGTAATGAAAATCAGTTTTAAATTTTTTTTTGTTTAATCAAATTATTAAAAAATAAATAATGAAACTGGCCTTGACCAAAAGGATGGTACCTGTAGAAAATCTTGAAAATAATTTGACCATAGGGACATAAAGTAAGATTCAATTCAATTCATTTCAAAATAATTTATTAATCCCAAAGGTAAATTAAATGTTGTAACTCATCATCCTGGTTTCATTAAAAGTTGTTCTAGATGCTGATGGCTGTGGGCAGGAAGGATCTCCTGCAGTCCGTCCCGCAATGGATCTGAAGAAACTGGCTGCAGATGCCGATTGGTCCACTTGGACCCAGTGGGCCTCTCGGTTCTTCTGGGCAGCAGGACCACCTGAATGTTGGGCAGAACTCCTCCCTGAGCGATGGTCACTCCTCTCAATAGCTTGTTGAGCTCCTCATCATTGCAGACAGACAGCTGCAGGTGTTGGGGGATGATCCTGGTCATCTTGTTGTCATGAGCTGCATTTCCTACCAGCTCCAGGATCTCAGCAGTCAGTCACTTGAGCACCTCCATCAAGGGATGCATCCACCAGGGGATGCATCCACTGCGCCTCCTTTACAACACGTTTGGGATTTGGGGCTGTATTTTAGGTAATATTTGAGCTTTGAGATGTTTATCAGCTGCTCCCGGTTGTAAAAACCACCTTGTTGTCATGGTTATGCTTCATAACAAATGTCCAAAAGTAAAGAAGTTTTCAGTAAAAATCCTTCCAGCTGCACAGCATCCGATACCAGAGGAAATAATCATAAAAAAGCCAATTACATCCAGAAAAAAGAGAAAATAAAGTTTTCAAAAGCAATATCTCAGAATGAAAGTAAAAGTTACTCCAACATGCAGCCACCTTGAGTGGCGCAATTCTAGAACAGATCAGTCAGCTTTGTTTTGAACGTTAAAATATTTAGTTTTGGGTAGTTTCATGTTTTCGAGCTCCATCTTTGGGTCGTACATATTGTCTCACCCTGACATCAGAAGCTTTATTGCTCCTTTTAGCTAATGTTTGCATATTTTAGCTTTCAGCCAGTGTTCTGCTCCCTTTAGCTTTGACGGTTCAGTTTTAGCTTCTTCAGTCATTCAGAATTCAGACTACATTTTTGAAGAAAATGTTATCTCATTCATATTTACTTTAACCATGAGCCCAATTTTATCTCTTTTTTCTACTTTAATCATGAAAATAGAAATATTAAGAAATATTTAAAATAAAATAAAACTACATTGTGGTTATAAAAACTGAAATAAAACAAAAATTGAGTGAACTACCTAAACAAAGAATTGTTTAATATTCAGTTTCTTCTTCTTGTGGCTCAGAGAGCTGAGCACCTCTGACGCATGATCTCACCTGGCTTCCAGTGGTGTCTACATTTTTGTAGTGGGTATACTGTGCTTAGAAACCAAAGTACACCGGTTAGTACAATGTATTCATTGATTTATTTTGATTTTTAAGCATACTGAACATTTAAAAAATTCTGATGCTTATAGTACAACAAACTTTGTACAACAGTTGTCTTTGTATTAAAAACATGTTACAATTTATAAAACAGTATCAAAGCAAAACATGTTCAAGTATCAAGTAGTAAGTGTTCCAGATGTGTTGACCATGACACAAGCTCATGTCATGTTTCAATGCCAATGATACGTGTCATGGGCTCGTGTCATTGGGCACTTTTAAGTGGGTATACTGAAATTCCCAAGCTCTTCTAGTGGGTATACTCCGTGTACCCAAGGTATCACATAGACAACACGACTGCTGGTTTCCTGTAGTTTCCAACTTTGACACATCCTTCAGTCCTCTGTGATGCTGAGCAGATGTTGTTACAGAAAAATGAAATTGTTCTGCTGCACATTGGATCTGATTTTAAAGACAGCAGTAGAAACATCTCCTCTGTAGGACTTTAAAACCTGCACTTATCATCAGCGTGGACCCAAAAAGGTCCCTCAGGGGGTGTGGTCCATCTATGCATTTATTCAAGAATGTGTGTGTGTGTGTGTGTGCGTGCGCGTGCGTGTGTGTTTTTTTTTTCTGAGATAAGGTCTCTCTTTGGACTGGACTGGATGGGGGTTGAGCAATCTGACCAGAACGGAACTTCCTCCCCCGCCTGCTGGTCCCACAAAGCCAGAAGGAGAGCTCTCAGTCCGGGACGGTTATAAACGGGTCCTGTCATGGACCGGACTTGGTATGTGGGTCAGTCTCGGCTCGGTCAGGTCTAGAGTTGGTTCTGACGCGGACAGGATGGACCCAGCAGCCACACAGACGGTGCTTGTCTTCGTGTTTTGCCTCTGCGGGCTGCAGGAAGCGGCCCCCCCTCAGCTCGGACGCTGCTCTGGGGGTCTCTGTTTCTTCCAGCACAGTGTGGACTTTGGAGGCGCGCAAAGATCCTGCGTCAACTCCTCCGGACGTCTGGTCGAGTCCGGTTCTGAGGACCAGATGGAGTTCTCCAGTCTGCTGGCGGGGAGTAGCGGGAGGTTCTGGCTGCGCAGCGCCGAGGGGGCGAATTGCACCGCTGCATCGGTGAGGGGGGGGGAGGTCGTGGCAGCGGCCGTGCCGTGCCGGGACAAACTAGACGGCTTTGCGTGCCACTATAACCCCGCTGTAATGTGCGGATCTCTAAGCGGGGACGCACAGTATACCCTTAGCATGGCCGCGCACTTCCAGCTGCTCGGCTCGGACTCATTCCCCCCTGGAACCGTGGCCCGGGTGGGGGTCGCGCAGCACCTGGACTCCAAACACTTGTGCTACGGCGGGTGGTTCCGAGCGCCCTGGTCCTGTGAGGTGTTCAGGGGCGGCTGCGAGCACGACTGCGACTCAAACACACACACCTGTACCTGCCCCACCACACACGCGCTCCATCAGGACGGGTTCTCCTGCGTCCCGAAATCCCAGCTGGATGGGTGCGAGGACGGGTTCGAGCATGCAGAGGACGGCTGGAGCTGCGAGGACGTGGATGAGTGCGAGGAGGACACGTGCACGGCTGAGGGAGAAGAGTGCGTGAACTTGCCGGGAGGATACCAGTGCACCTGCGCGCACGGCTTTGCGGAGGATGACGGGACATGCGTGAACACCTCCATCTGCAAGACGTGCGAACAGAGGTGTTCAAAGGTGGGCGGGGCCTACAGGTGCGAGTGTGTGGAGGGCTTCACCGTGGCCCCCGAGGACCCCACCAAGTGCAGGCAGCAGTGCCCTGGGAGGGTGTGCCCGGCCCGCTGCATCCACGACCCTGAGCTGGAGGAGAAGAACATGCAGCAGTGCACGTGCCCCGAGGGGTACATCGTGGACATCAGCAACAGGACGGCCAGCTGCGTGGACATCGATGAGTGCGAGTCCCAAGACATGTGCGACCACATGTGTGAGAACACGTTTGGCAACTACAGGTGTGCGTGTGAGGATGGCTTCCAGCTGGTGAGGGGGGACAGATGTGTGCCTCTGGTGGCACAGGATGAAGACTCCTCAGGATCTCCTCCCCCTCCTGGTCATCCTCCTCACGCCCCAGGCAGCCTCCAGCCAGCTGTCCTCCCTGCCTACATCAGAACGGGCAGCATCCTGGGGATCACCGTGTTCCTGGTTCTGTGTGTGGTGCTGCTGGTCTGCCTGGTCCAGAGCCTGACGAGACGCTGCGGCAGCTTGGACCTGACCTCCATCAAACACCCGGACATGGACATCTTCTACCTGCAGCAGGTGAGCACAGAGACCTACAAGAGGCTGTCCTTTGACCGACAGTCCAGGACCGACTCACTGAGACTCTGAGACTCTGTATGAAGACAGACTGAATGTGAGCCATGAGAACTGAGGGCGCTGCATCTCCACCGATGGATAACATGCATGTTCAAATACATGCAAGGACTGATGAACAAACAATTCTACATATGTCAGGATTTCTGTAATAATTTAATATTTATGACATTAGAAAAATAATCTTGTTTTTATTTTTATTAGATATTGTCTTTTTAAATTTACAGCATGTTATTTATGCCCATAAACCTGCAGCATGTTTTTATACTGGACCAACACCAACACCAACACACACACGGTCTGACATGAATGATTTTTATTTATTTATCTTTTATTATTATTATTATTTCTTTTAAAATATTGGGGGGTGGGGGGTTGTTCCAATTATTATTTATTTAATTATTTTCAAACTACCAAAGGAAAATGCCATTTTCTGTATTTAGCAGACTCTGATCTAGCAGCGAGCTGCAGGAGCATGGTGCACCCTCTAATGACCTCCTGCTTTGGGTGAAGCTAACAGCTGTCGTGCCGTGGAGCGTCCCATGCTGCAGCCTGCATGCATGTGCAACACAGTTTTAGACTAAAAGTTTATTTGTGCACATTACAAGTGATCTTTAGCCTTTACATCCAGACTAAATTAACTGTTTCACATGAGATGAGAGGTGGGACTTTGCAGAGACATCTGGCTGACACAAGGTTCTGATTCTAGATGGAGTTGAACTCCGTCTGTAGATTTCTAAGTTCCTGTGAGCTTATGAGAACATTTGGAACAATCTGACTAAATAAACAAGGATTTGTTGGCTTTGTCCAAGAAAATAGTGTTACCGACTTCAACAACAACAAAAACGAGTAAATAAAAACACAGACAAAATAAATATGTTTGATTTGTCCTCAAAAGACAACACAAGTGTTCATTTGAATCTTCTAACAGAGTATCCTGATGAATGCTCAATAATCCAGGTAGAAAAATCCAAAAAAGTTCAATCTGGTCCTCTGGGAAACTAAACAGCCACTGGCCAAAAGGATGGCCCAGCACAGAAGATCAACATCATCTGCGGTCTACACTCATCTCCAGGCCAGCAGTCACTCTTTCAAGGATGAAGATGTTCATATCCTGGACAGAGAGGAACGATGGTTTGAGAGAGGAGTAAAGGAGGCCATCTTTGTGAAAAGAAATCGTCCATCATTAAACAGGGGTGGAGGCCTCCGGGTTCAACTGTCCCCCTCTTACAATGCTGTGATTGCTAGTATCACTCAGCCCTCTGTGAGTAGTAAACAGCCATCAGTGTGCTAATGATCCATTGTTAGGCTGATGGTCCTTCTTGATCATGTGATCAGCTGGTTTTGGTTGTCACAGCAGCAAACTGGTTGATCCACTCTGAGAAGGTGCTATTTAAGAGACTGAGCTGAAAACAGCACCTCAGACTGAGGAAGTCTCTTGGATGAGAGACGAAACGTTTCTAGATTTTTTTTTTTTTTTTTTTTGAATGTCCAGAGGACCAGATTGAACTTTTTTGGACTTCTAACACAGTCACATTAATGTATAAAAAGAATACCGTAAGTGCCAGCCTATTATGCGCACCGAGAAAGTCACCCACTTCTGTCTTAGACCATGCACACTGAATTTAAATTGAAAAAACTGTGCATATATAAACTGTGGGTGTTCAGGTTGTAACATGAGACTGCTCACAGCTACTGAGAAATGTGCAGGTCTTGTTGTAGTTCAAGAATCAACCACCAGATGGCGTTTTATACACTTTACTGTGGAACACACAGACAGAGTGAACCCACAGGTCTTCATGACAACTACCTCCCTCACTCATGGTTCCTCTACTGAATGGTCTAACACAGGGGTGCCCAAACTTTTTCCCTGAGAGGGCCAAATTTAAAATCTGTCAGAGGGCTGCAGGCCAAATGCAATAATATGTAGCGTCCAACCAACGTCCCTCAAAAGGACAATCAGCCTGAGCTCCCGGCTCTGTCAAAGAAAAATGTTAGTCAGTGGCAGGAAGCTGCAGAGGAAAGGTAGGAAGTCTGTCAAAATAAAATACAAGAATATAAATTACTAAAATTGTTTGAAAAATATACAAATTAGCCACTCTACTGTGTCACAGAAGATCAACACCATCAGGCCAGGACTCTGTGATCTACACTCATCTCCAGGCCAGCAGTCACTCTTTCAGGGATGAAGATGTTCACATCCTGGATAGAGAGGAATGATGGTTTGATAGAGGAGTAAAGGAGGCCATTTTTGTGAAAAGAAATCGTCCATCATTAAACAGGGGTGGAGGCCTCCGTGTTCAGTTGTCCCCCTCTTACAATGCTGTTATTGCTAGTATCACTCAGCCCTCTGTGAATAGTAAACAGCCATCAGTGTGCTAATGATCCATTGTTAGGCTGATGGTGCTTCTTGACCAAGTGAGCAGCTGGTTTTGGTTGTCAGCATCAAAACTAGTTGATCCACTCTGAGAAGGTGCTATTTATAAGACTGAGCTGAATACAGCACCTCAGACTGAGGAAGTCTTTCACATGAAAGACGAAATGTTTCTACATTTTTTTGTTGTTGTTTTGCTTTGTTTTGTTTTTTAAATGTCCAGAGGACCAGATTTAACTTTTTTAGATCTGTTCTTGTTAGTTCATGTGTTCATTATGTGTTAATTTGTGTTAGACCATTCATTAGAGTACTGTAACCATGAGTGAGGGAGGCAGTTGTCATGAAGACCTATGGGGTTTGTTCTGTCTGTTAGTGGTGTGTGATACTGCTAAACTTGGTAACAATTGATCAATACCAAATAAATTCAGGTCCAGTCTCGCCAATACTTATATTTCGTTTATAAGTAGAAAAAAAACTTTATTATAATAAATGTTGTTTTTTTTCTGAAAGAATATAACAATAATAAAACAATTTTCCCCATACCTTGTGGTGGCTGGATTTTTTTCTTAAACAAAGTCCACAAAACAATCACTCAAGAATAAATGAAAACGTGTTCAGAAACTATGATGATTAAATAAAAATGATCCCTTCATTGCACTCCTTTCTGGATTTTTTCCTTAAATAAACAAACTGTTTGAGCATGCATCAGGAAAAAAACTGTACATATCACATCGCAACAAATGTTATAAAACACTAAAATATATTTAGGATATAAAGGAATAAAACAACATTTGTCCTATTTAAGTTAATTTATTTTCTGGGTTTGAAAAAATAACTACAAATCAAAAATAATTTGTGAAAATACAATAAATAAAGTGTAAATAACAAAACAACCTCCAAAGCCTTGAGTTCAAAGAAATATTCCCAGCAGCCTCTCTGTGGGCCCTGCCTGCTGCTCTGTGCTGTGACAGAAGCAGCACTTACATGATGAAACCGCAGCAGTGCATACAGGAGAGAAACTGAAACTAAAGTATCAATCTCATTACACTGGTATTGATCAATATCAATACTCATGTTGGTATCGATATTATCTATATTTAGATCAATCCGCCTACCACTACTGTCTGTGTCATGAGGACCCACCCCCTAGAGAGACACATACTGGGCAGCTATGTGAGCGCATGGGTGTGACAAAGCTAAATATTTTTGGCGGCAGGAAGCTCATTAGCCCGTTGGAGAAAAAAATCCATGAATTAGCGAAAGCCCTGTCATAAGCTGTCAACTTCTAAATGTGTGAAAAAAGTAGCAGCTTATAGACCAGAAATTACGGTAGTTGTTTCCGTGGTGACTTTGTGGTGGTCTGTTTGATTTGGTTTGATGGCGTTTGACTCACTACAATTGTGAACATGTTTGTGAATGGTTGGACCGTTAGTCACCTTGAGTCGTGCACACACCTCAGACTGACGGCTGCATTTGACGTTTTTCAGTGTTTTTGTGAATGAACCCTCATCTGTGAATTAGAGTAACAAAGACCTTGAGAAACCCCTACTGTTAAGGTGTGAGGTGTGATTTGTCAATCTACATATGTATGTGTATCTTATCTCAGCCTTATAACCTGAACCCCTCACTTACTGCTCTTTGAATTGAGAAAGCTCTTCGGATGAGAAGCGAAACATTTTCTGTTACAAATAAAGTCCAGTTGTTTTTGTATTGAACGTTTTTTTTAATTTTGTGAATGAACTTTGTCCAACAGCAGACTGAAGGTTTGAGTGTTAAAAAGACCTCTCAGTGTGTGAGCATGAGCGTTTACCATCACCGTTTTTCTTCACCAGCACTGTAGGAGGGTTTTAACTTCACTGTAATGGCCTCAGCTCACATGAATGTAAAACGGCTGCTATCAAACATCTGCAAACATTTAGAGCTGTTTGTCCAACAGCTTTACACATTGTAATAAATTATATTTTACACTGGGATCTTATCTTACATCACAGAAAAATCAAACATGAAGCCTTTTATTATTTGATCAGAAATAAATGTGTTACTGTAATGTGTTAAGAAACTGTGTGCGAGTATTATGATAAAACTTTGGTAAGTCCGTATTTATTTAAATAACTGTTTAATTAAATATATGATCATTAAGAAAGTGCTAAATATTACTAACTAACTTTTTCATTCAATCAAACTGGACGAGGAGACCTTGGAGAGCCTGGAATCATTTGTTGACGAGTGTTTTTACAGCTTAGTCATGGGTAAACCTAAAGATTCTTCCGGTGCTGCTAGCGATTCAGCTAACATCCCCACTGCTAAGCGGCATCGACAGGGAAGCTCAGACAGCGTTACGGCACCGTCTCCTGATAATACAGGTTTAAAGGAGATATTAGAATCAATTGACCAGAAGCTAACTAGCTTGGACGCCCGATTAGCATTGGTAGAGATGCTGCATAAAGAGTTTCAAGGCCTCAGGGAGTCTTTTTAGAATTCAGCCAACAACAGGTAGCATTACTTGCTAGTGAAAATCAGGAGCTTAGAGGAACGGTAAAACAACTCACCGAGGAGATGACGCTGCTATCCGGGGATAATAAAAAATAAAAGAATTGATCCTGGATATCCAAGCCCGGAGCATGCGGGATAACCTCGTCTTTTCGGGAATCCCGGAGCGAGCGAACGAGGTCCCTGAGGCCTCCGTCCGTGACTTCATCCAGAATCAGCTGAAGTTGCCGAGTGACGCGGTTAATTCCATCACTTTTCACCGAGTCCACC